CTAGGGGTGACCCCAGCTGAAACCAGGCTGAAACTTCACCGGAGCGCCCTGCTGGGGCTTCTGGCTCCAGCTGAGGCCTCGGGGTCGCCATCCTTCCTCCCCAGCCCCCAAAAACCTCCGCTCGGGAGCTCAGCGGCATGTCAGGAACGTGCGCGCCTTCTGAACGCCTCTCAAGGCCGTTACTCTCAAAAACTGTTGGTTTTGCTGTTCATCTGGCCTTAAGAACGAATGAATTGAGCATTAGCGGTGCTGACGGTGGAAGCATCCGTTTGACTCCTCTCTCTACTCAGTTTCACTTTCTTATAATTTAGGCTGTGCTTACAAATCATGCTGCAGGGATTTTTATAGTTTTTTTTTTTTGCCCCTCTGCGGTGGATTAATAACGTTCTATGTTTTTTATGTACATCTTTTGTTTCCAGAGTCAAAGTAATGAGTTACAAAGTTCACCTATGCTGAAAATAAGCAAAAGTTGAAAAGAACTTTCTGGGAACCTGAAGAACTGCTTTGTTCTGATAAATGAAGCGCTTATGCTGTAGAAGGCAAGCTGAAAAATCCCTCTTCTAAATGTGCAGCTTTTTTCCTTTCGATGAAACATACTTTTGGGAAAAAAGTATCTGATACCGTTTCAAAGAATTGAACGGTCTTTATTCCTTTTACTCTGCCCTAAGCCTTTAAGGTTTTTTCAACTATCAGTGGAGTAGGTGGTCCTGAGTTCCTAGAGTAAGATAAGTAGGGAGCAACTCTTGGTGCAAACGTAAGTCTCTCAACGCAGTCTGTGTGGTTTTCGTGCCCCCAAAGAGGAAAAGGGAGCATTTCCTGATACTTTTTTATAAAGAAACTGTTGATGCAGTGGTTTAATCTTCCTGAATTTTGAAACGTGTTAATACATTGAAAACTTCAATATATTTAAATTGCGCATTATTTTTTCAAAATGTAGTGAAATATATAAACATTTTTAATGTATTACTGAGAAATTAGTGAACTTCTGTGTTGAACTTTTATCAGATTCACCAAATGATTCTTTACTGAATTACAGGGGATAATTAAATTCAAGTGAGGATACTGGCACTTGAGCCTTGGCCATGTGTCCAGTGGTAGCCCAGTATCCGTACTTCTACGTCATGCGCTAGGTAACAAGATGAAATCTGAACAACGAATTCAAGAATTTTGTTTGCTTGCAATGTCACCGGCCTTTTGTGTGTGTTTTAGAGATGCTTTCTGAAGTTATCCTGTATTGAAAACCTCAGTTCCCAGTGTTTTTCACGTATCCAGGTGTTACATACATCCCAGCACTAAGTGATGGGAAGAATAACCAAGAGAAATGGCTAAATGCATCCTTAAAATGTGACTATCTATGTTCCTAAAGGTAAAAACTAAAAACGAATTAAAGAGGAGGGAAGAAGAGTCAGTCTTTGAGGCTCCAAATAAGCTTAAGGATCCGTGGTATTATGATCCATACAACTGAAATATGATTGCCACCTGGTTTATTCAGGACTAATCTTAAATAAAAACACTCATTAATTTTGGTGGGAAATAAGTAAATATTGCCTACTACCCTTCTCTGTGACTCGCACAGATCTCCGCTGAGAGTTTTGGAGAATGCAAAGATATTTTGTAATCCAATACTTGACAGAGTTCTGGGTAGCTCAGCGCATCGGGGGGAGAAGCTGTAGTCAGCAAAGCTGCAAAGAAATTATTTCCATTCAGTTTGTTACTTTATGAGTATTTCTGCAGCCTCTATGCTGCTTGCATTCTTCCTCAGTGCTCTAAGTCAACAAGTCTTGAAAACAAAAGCAAATACCTCACAGGATTTCTGAACTAATTTAGTTTGCAAGTGTTTAAGTACCATATTGTGTAGTCATAACTTAAACAAGAGAGTTTTTATTTTGAGCACTAAAACAGTCAAACGGTCCCTTGATTCTTCTCGGCAGCTAGAATACATTTCTACAGCCTCGTGCAAGATTTCAGCTGGGAAAGAATGCGATTTTATCCTGGCTCTGGAAATGCCTGGAGGCAGACTTGCATTCACTGATTAGTCAGAAGGCTTTTAATCGCTTACCAGATCAGAATACAGAAGTGTTTTGGTTGTTTGTTTTTTTTAAGAAAAACAAGTTAAATTGGTTCTCTGTTACACTGATTAACTCTGATGCGGTCTGTCTTAGGATCACTTTACGGATGACCTATTTATTTTTAAAAAATAAATTCGGTATGTTCTGTGATTTTTGTCAAAGTTTTGGTGCCTGTGAGGCTGTTCATCTCCAAAACTGATGTGAATGACTAGTGATTGTCTCCTCCCTTTGCCAAGTGCATGAACACACGGTCATTATTACCAGAGTTTCCAGTCTAAGATCAGACATCGTTCTGTAATGACTCTGGTTTTGGCAGACCCCTTCTGTTGAACCAAGTCTTCATGGCTTCACGGAGCTTTTTGTAGGTGCTGGAACCTGGGTGCATCCATCTTACTGTGGAGTTGGAGCTCTGACGGTAGTGATAAAGAGCGGGCTTACAAGTGGTAGGAGGGAGTGCATGGAAGCCATAGAGGTAATCCTGTGTTTACTGAGCGGTCAGTGTGCATGACAGCAGTTATTGTGTTTGTTCCTGGCTGTTTCTATTTTCCCTTTCTACAGATACGCATTTTTTTTGCCGCCTCTACTCTTTCTGTACTGTTCCTTGGACCCTTTCTTCAATTCTGTTGTTTCTGTAAAGGAATAAATGCACTTTTTGCCATGTACTTCTTAGAAAAAGAAGGATGCTTGAATTTATTAAATTATATAATGAGCAGAAACAGGAAATTACGTCTTTTACAGTGCTCTTTTCTGCATTCAAATGCTGAAAACCGTGTAAGTTCTTTTAAGATTCATTTTAATTCCCCATTTATAAAGAAGTCTTTTTTTCATATGCGGTATTTCTCTTCTGAAGCAATCCCCTGTTACAGTAACTTCAGATCTCAGATTATCATGGGCCCCTCTGATCAAGCAAGTCACTGAGATGAAGCTGAACATAATCCTGAGAAATGAAATTCTTCCAGTTGTTCTGCAAGGCCTGAATCAGATCGTCTAATCTGCGCACAAAAAAAGCACGTGCATCTAGCGTGCCAGGTGCTGCTTACGTTTTCGAGGTCATGACTTGAAGATGAGTTGAACAAGATGAGTTGTTTTCTTGCATGTGAAACAGCGATATTAAATAACCGCTCCAAATACTGGTACCTGCAATGGGTGATAATCTGCATTTTCTCTAGGGCTGCTAGACAATTCCTCCTTTGCCTTTGGAAAAACAGTGGCCATTTCTGTATTGTCCAAGTTAAAGTAATCCTGTAGACTTCAAATCCATTACACTCGGTCATTGAGCGGCTAGGTACCATCTGCTGCTAATTTCTTTGCAAGTTCTTGGTTTTATTACCGTTATTCCTCAGAGCAGGATGGGGAGCTGTCTGTCTAAATTTTTCACTTCCTGATCTCTTCCGTCGATAACCTTTTTTGCTGTGGTGTGTTGGAGACAGTTTTGCCAAGAAGCATATGAACTCTGCTATTGTAGAATAGATTCATTCCTGCAAAAGGGATTGCTGCACCGAGTGTAACATGTAAGGGAGGAGGAGGAAAATCTGTATTTTATCCAAAGAGCAAGGATTGAGGATGTGAAGCTTCTCAGACACTTTTTTCCCAAGGGTGTACAGTCTTCTGTCATTATAAAATGAGGGTGTGTTTTTCAGCTTGCAGATTATTTCATGTTTTTACCGTGATTGAGTTTATTTGATTAAATTCAGTGTGTTTGGAGTTACTTTTGAAGCGAAAGTGAAACTGACTAGAAAGTAAAAATGGTTATTTTTAATTTTTGAGACTTTTCTATAAATAGTGGAAGAGGAATGGGTAAAAGATGAATTGTTCTAAGAACAAGATTAATATTAAAGCTATAATACATGTGCACAGGTTAAAAAAAACCCAACACAGTAGTAGAAGGAACAGGGAGCTAGGGAGTTATTTTCAGCCTACTGGTGTTGCATAAAAAGATGGTAATCTAAGGTTATCATGTTCAGCACAATCAATGTATCCCAAGAATTCACTGAATCAAACCGTTTTCAGGAACAAAATTAATAATTATGTAGAGCAAGAGTTCTAGAAGTTTTATTGAAAAGAGTTTATAATCAGTTTTACACACAGAAACCTTCTATAGCGTTTGAAAATCAGCCTCATTTTGGCCTTTATTTGGTAGCAGTGTGTTCTGTAGGATTCAAATTTCTTATTGTTGTTGTCTGCCTTTATGGAAAACTCTTTTGCAACTTGTAGATATAAAATGGTTTTTTCACTGTCCGCATTTGTCTGGAAATCCAGTAACATTATGACTTTCAACTTATTTCAAGATTGCTTTATATTATGTATTTTCAAATCTTAATATGGCCAAATTTCTGTCCAAAGATCTTAAAAATGTATATCTGAAAGCCTGTCTGTTCCCAGTATAGCTGAAATTACATGAAGAACAATTAGCATAACACTTTCAACTCGGATAAATCATGTCTGGATCTTTAGACAGCTTTGTTCAGTCAGATTCATCTTGTTGCTGTGACTCAGTCGATGGCACACTCGCATAAAAGCTGGCACCGGTCCGTGGGAACCTGTCTCTATCAGATACTGATGTGAAATCTTTCAGAAGTGATCAACGCAAGAAATGCTGCCTTAGAATCACATACTCAACCTGACCATGTGGAAGTTAAACATTCTTTGGCGTGATTTTTAGACCTCTTCCCCCACCTCGTTTTGTTATTGCCTTCAGCTGATCTTAAAGAATGGGGATGGTGAGGAGTAGGGTACAGGAGCAATTGCAAGATGGGAGTGATGGGATAAATAGTGATTTTTGAGGGTAACTCAGAAACTTTTTGTAATTACTCTGCTGAAATACCTGATTAGGTGTAGGGCAATTTACTGGCTAGCACACCAACTGCCAAGGCTAGATTCTGTCTTCATCAAACAACTGTCCTAGTGTCCCACTTCATGCTTTTTCATAAGGTTGTCCCTCTGTTTCTTTGTCTTGTTCCCCTTCCCTCCCCCATCTTTCCTGTTTTTATTTTTCCCTTTGCTTCTTTCTTAGGGCGTTTGCAGCAGCAGCAGCACGGTGTGGTTATGTAAAATCCTCCCTCTGTATGGGGTCAGAGCATGGCATGTAATCAGGTTCTCTGCAGCCCAGCTCCCTGCCAGACTGGGATGTGATGGGTTTTGTTCTCTGCTAATCTCTCCAGAGCAGCGGACAATGAACTGCCAATTGAAAACTGTGACGAGAGGATTAGTGAGCATCTGTTCAAAGAGAAAGGGTGTTTTTGAAGAGTGGAGAACTTTCCTCATTTAGTGAAAGCTTGAATAGTGCAGGTCCTTGCGTTAACAGCAGGACCCACCGTGCCTTTCCTGACCATGTGGTTGTCTGCTGAATCACTGTCAGGGTCTGGTTTGTAAAGCCCTCTGGAGTATCTGATTTTTATGAAGAACCTAGTAAGTTCAGTTTCAAACCATTCTGTGCATGTGAACAAACTGGAAGTAAACTTATATGTAAAAATGGAAGGAGTAAGAATTAACTTGTAAAATTGTCGCAAAGTACTTTGAAGATTACTGAATGCATGCAAGAGAAAACGTGGTGCTCAGGTGAATATTAGTGTTTCTGTCGTGTTTGAACTCAAAAGGCTTGGTTTTTTACAATATAGTTCTTAAACGCTTGCTATTCAGGCGTTCTTTAGTGTGCTCAGCCTGTCCTGGATATCTCACCTAGAATTTGCCTCATCAGCTCTCCCTATATTCTTGTTTTACTGTTTTCCTCTGAAGCTTTCTGCAGTGCTTTTCTGTCTTCTGCCTCAGATACTTTTAAACCTCTTTTCATCCCCATGTTTCTCAATCTCTTATTCTTAACCAAATTTACACAATTAAGCTTACTTTACGTGACTCCAGCATATGTGGATCTTAACAGCATGGCTGAAATACGAGTTCAGATGTATTGATAACAGAATATGTAGCAAACTCTATAAAGCAGTTACTTTTCAAAGATGGAGTTCTATGTGGGTTTTGTGTCCTTTATGTATCTCTCAGAGAATCCATTATTTTTCTCCATAAATGCATAATTTTGTAACGCGCTGCTACCGAGGAGGAAAAAACAAGTGCTTTTCAAGTTAAAGTAGAAAAAACTTTGTGTGCTGTTGAAACAGGACTCTGGATTGAGTAGGCAGCTGGGATAGACACGTGCTCATAACTTTGACTTTTTTTTTCCCCCTTCTGTTTCCAGTACAAGAGAAATTGCCTTCTGCAGAACTGGTCTGTTCAAGGAAAGATCCTTGCTTTCATTTTGTCCTTTCCATTCCTCCCCAAATGTACCTGTTCTCTTAGAAGCCGATTTCATCTGGAGCTATGCAATTGGTGCCTGTTTCTTTTTCAAGTCATTATGTGTTTTATGTGCATCTGAGTGGCGCTGCTGGAGAAGCAAAACTGCTCTGCAGAGATTTGAAAGGGCTTTACCGCATCGGGGACCTGAGAACAGCGTATTCCTGGTGGAATGTTTTCATGTGTTTGAATTGCTTTAAATTTTGTGTATCTATCCCAAGGCTGAAAGAGTATGGGGAGAAGTATTACAGTTTATTTCTGCTTTGCACTAAAAAAAAAGAACATTTTTATGAGATATATCCATTGCACCATAAAATATACTGTGGATATCAATTACTGAAACTTTAAGTAAATGCAGTTGAACCAAATACTTAAATACGAGGATAGTATTTTAGTGGGACGTGAGGCAGATCTTTCTCTCTTGCGTTTATTGTTTTAGGATCTTTAACTACCACATGTGGTCACGGTACCAAAATGTCAGTTCTGAACCAAGGAAGACGCGGTATGCTGGTAAGAGACACGGACACTCCTGTCCTGCAGGGCTGGCTGGGGACGTGGTGCCATCTCCTGACTCACCTAGAGTCTTCCTACAGGAGTAGGGTTTTCCTTAGGTCTCCCATCCCAGTACTAAGCCTGACCTTGTTTAGCTTGAGGTCTGAGAGTGCAGGCTGATGTCACGGCTGCAATATAACAGAGTAAAGAATCCCTTCCGAAGTGCTGTTATCTGTATAACTGCAATTTGAGCAAGAGGTCTTGTTTACTTCCTGCAAAATTTAAAACTTATTTTTCTTGTTCGCATCTGTCTTCACATCGGTAATTTGAATTTTACTGCATAAATATTGAATATTATGTTTGGTCTTATTTACCAGATCTTACAGCAGAAACTTTTTGCCCAAACTTCAGTTACTTTTAACTTCCTTTCGTCCTATTCTGTGGTGGTAGAAATTTCATTTTCAAATGTGTGTTATATGCCAAAGTCATCTTGGATTCTGTGGGCTTAAGTTTTTTGTGGTCTTCTCATAGACACAGTAATGTAGGGTATAAACCAAACCATTAACCAGAGATCAAGGCTTATATGCTAGTAAACTTTAGATGCTTTCAGACATCCCAAACTTCTGAAATTCACTTGTCTTCGGTATGAAAGTAGCTTTTTGTAGAAGAGCAGTAGCATGTATAGGAAACACAACTGTATTTTTATCTGAAATAATATATGTAGGTTCTGGGTACCTCTTGAATCTGTTAAGTTTTGTAATAAAAGCCTTGTAAGATTGAGATCTTGAATGTTTTTAGATCAACATGATGCATAAGTTTAAAACTGCATCTGTTTAAAGGGATTTATGACTAAAACTGCTTGTTTTTCTACAGAATTGTCTGGTGTTTCTCAGCTTGAAGAAGATCTGCAGTCATTATTGATCCTCTTTCTTGGCGTTACCATTTTTGAAGTGAAGTTTGCCTAGCTTTCTAGTGTGAGCTCTCTTTTCAGCCATCTTATAAAAAAAGAACAAATTTTTTTTGATCCATAAAGTAGACAAGCTATAGTTCTACAATGTCCAAGTCATTCCAGCAGTCATCTCTGAGTAGGGATTCACAAGGTCATGGGCGTGACCTCTCTGCAGGAATAGGCCTTCTTGCTGCTGCTACCCAGTCTTTAAATATGCCAGCATCTCTTGGAAGGATGAACCAGGGTACTGCACGCCTTGCTAGCTTAATGAATCTTGGAATGAGTTCTTCATTGAACCAACAAGGATCTCATAGTGCACTGTCTTCTGGTAGTACCTCTTCCCATAATTTGCAGTCTATATTTAACATTGGAAGTAGAGGTCCGCTCCCTTTGTCTTCTCAGCACCGTGGAGATGCAGACCAGGCCACTAACATTTTGGCCAGCTTTGGTCTGTCTGCTAGAGACTTAGATGAACTGAGTCGCTATCCCGAGGACAAGATTACTCCTGAAAACTTGCCTCAGATCCTTCTACAACTTAAAAGGAGGAGAGCTGAAGAAGGTTATGGTAGAGATGGCAGATCATCCACACGGGAACCACCGTACAGAGTACCTAGGGATGATTGGGAAGAAAAAAGGCATTTTAGAAGAGATAGCTTTGATGATCGTGGTCCTAGCCTCAACCCAGTGGTTGACTATGACCATGGAAGTCGTTCTCAAGAATCTGGTTATTATGACAGAATGGATTATGAAGATGACAGATTAAGAGATGGAGAAAGGTGTAGGGATGAATCTTTTTATGGTGAGACTTCGCATAACTATCATAAATTTGACAGTGAGTATGACAGAATGGGTCGTGGTCCTGGTCCTGAGAGATCTCTCTTTGAGAAAAAGAGAGGTGCTCCTCCAAATAGCAATATTGAAGACTTCCATGGATTCTTACCGAAGGGTTATCCCCATCTGTGCTCTATATGTGATATGCCAGTTCATTCTAATAAGGTGAGTTATGCACCAGATACTTCTATTTTTCCTTTACGTTGTAGTATCTGTTCTGTTTTTGCCTATTTCTTTAATTATTTCTATAGCCTGGTTGCTTTTGAAATGATCTGAAAGTTGGTTTGAGAGTGAAAAAGGCACTTGGTTTATTTACAAGGTAATTGTTAACAAACGCTGTAAACCAGGGCTTTACATTAATGTATTTTGTTTGCCCAGATTGCTTAACTTCAAGTCAAACAGCTATCATCTACTGGGATATCTTATTTATATTTTACATCTACATGTTCTCTTAACCACAAACATCTGGCATTCAAGCAGTTTTGGGGTGGGTTTTTAATTTTTTTTTTGTTGGTTTGGGGTTTTTTTGCAGTGTATCTACTGTGCTATTCAGGAAGCTAGTTTCGGCTCTCCTCCACATCTGTCTTGATTGCTGATTTATATGTAGTTAAGATGCATTCTTGCACAGTTCTGCTTTTTCCCTGTCCAACGTTTTAGATTAGCTCATTCTTGCCTTTTTAATTTCACTTTAACACTCTATCTCATACTATGGCTGAAATTTGTCGTCATTTTTCTCCTTTTTTCACAACTTTCTTAGACACTTCAGACTCACTTTTTATTGTCACATGTTGCATCTATCCCTGTAGACTCTCCGAGCAATCAGTCTGCTGTTGCAGTATCCTGCTCTGTGTTCCTAGTAGTGTTCTTTACTTGGCTCGCCAGTAGAGTGGATCTTCGGGTATATTCGGTTATGCTGAGGCTTCCCTCTTAGTTTATCCACGAGTAGCTCAACTCTCTGCAAAGGTAGCAGGTTACGCAAAATGGCCTGTTTATTCAGACGTTTATTTTCAGAGCCTTCTCACTTTCAGCTTTTCCAATTTGACTCATCTTGCTGATTTTCAGTATACTAGGCAATTGAATTGGCTAATTGGCTAATACGGTGCCCCTCTTGTCACAATTAGTGGCTAATTAGCTTGAAGGCCTTCAATTGAAAATATAATACATGCTATGACTGTGAAATTGATACGATGTGGAATTGCTGTTACTAACCATTTCTTTACAGTTACCTCTCAAAGTGCTGCTTCTGTACATCTAATCTTTTTGAAACACAAGAATTACTCTGTCCCTGCAAGGAAATGATCACATCGGTTTTAGAGCACACGCTATATGACTCCAGCTGATCTGACACTTTATGAACTTGTGTTGCTTTAATTATTTTTTTTATATAAAATAAGCACAGTAATCCGGGTTTCTTGTCTCCTATAATTGACATTTATTTTCATAAAAGGTTTTAAGTGTTAACGGTTTAGATGCCATGCTCAGTTCTGTAAAAGGACTTCCTTTGGTTAGATTGAAAAATTAAACTTCTGAGGCCCTTGAAGATGGCAACCGGTAATCCTGTAAGTAGGGGTCTTTTTAGCACTTTTATTTTAAAGCCTCGTGGTTCTTAGCTTGCTTTGGTATGAAGATCTGTTGAAAGGATATCCAACATGAAATTTCTTTCCAGGTATGAGAAATACCGAATTCTTTTGACAGCATAACTTAAGTGGCTGTCGTCTTCTGTAACATGTAAACCTACCACTTTTTTAGGAATATGCTTTGGCTTAAACTGCTAGTACGCCATAAAATATTTGAGATTGGATCATCTGTTTCTTATGACCCAAGTTTGGGCTTTGTTTCTAATTTCAGAAGTCATGTCACTGCAAGAATTTTTCTCTTTCTCTCCTTTTTTCCTCTGCTTTGCATACCTAACAGTTACAGAATTTCTTACTTCATGTCTCCCACAAAATTGAATCAAGTAGAACTTAACTTTTAAAGTAATCTGATCTGAACCAAGATTTATGGAAAGCAGAAAGGGAATGCTTTTCTTAGCTGGGACAACGTAAACTTACTACTGCAGTATCAAAACCTCATTTTCCCCACCTCCAAATAAAAACATCATAGAAGATTGTTTTAAAAGCGTATGATAAAGCAATGTGTATTTTAAGCCCAAGCAAGGGGTTAAACACCCTTAGTGTAACTTAAGCTGGCAGACTAGTCCTGTGTTTTTCTCTTTAGTTCCTAATTGCTGCTTTAATTTGATATGTATGCATTTTAAGACCCAGTTTGTTTTCTCTCTAATTGCAAAGTAAATTGTGCCCCAGGTTTTTTTAGGCATTTTGTCAATCCCGATCCCTTTATCAAGGATTGAGGTGTTAGACATGGAGGGCTTGTTTTCCCTGCCAAAGCAAAAGCCTAATGCAACATGAGCAGATGAATTTGGAGGTTAAACACTTGAAACCGTGATACATCTCAAAGGAAAAACATGGCCATGTCCCTAATAGAGGGCTGTCTAAAATTAGGTGCTTAAGTTTGGCCTAATTTTCTGAAGGACAGCGCGTCCTCTTGCTTTCATCCATTGAGGCAAAAGGTAATCTGAGTTTCTTAAAGTCGGTTCAGATTTTCTCTGCCTTAACTTTGGGTGTTCATGTTCATTAGCATCTGTAACTATCTAGTGCCCTGAGACCTCAGAGGATTGATGCCTCAGACTGGGTAGGGAGTAAAGGGAAGTCCAGATTAAGAATTGTATTTAATAAAAAGTTAATAATGTAGAAGGGTCGCTGTTCTGAAAACTTCCCCTGGGGGGGAAAAAAAACTCCTAAATTATAGATAGTCATATATAGGATATAGGGTACTATAGTTATAGGACATACAGTCAGATTGCCCTTTTTTGCTAATTTAAAAGCATGTGAGGTATAATGAGAGTTAGATCTCCCAACCTTTGGCTCTAGTTAGCAGACAATTTCTATTTCATTTTTTAATAATTTTAAAATACATGTTAAGACAGCTTTAAGTATTACATGTTTCATAGGTAGGTAGGTTTGTTTGGGGGTTTTGGTGCTTTTTTTCATCCTCATCGCCAGCATATTTATTAATTTATAGTTGTAGAGCCTACATCTTGTGCAGTTAACCAGAAACAGTGGTGCTCTCATTGTACATCATCTTGATAAAACAAATGAAGGTTTCGTCTTGCTCCATGCTGTATTTATGTCTCGTGGAGTAATACTGTAATGTAGCTTAACGACAGGACTTTATGGGAGACTTCAAATCCAGGTTTTTTTCCTTTCTGGAAACTGCAAGGTAGGCGTTTAGCATATGGAAACACTGCAGTAAGCCTCAGGAGTGCCTCATTGCATCTGGAAGTATGGCTATAGTGTGGGGGAAACTAAAAATCAGGAAAGATGAGGGATTAGGAAAAAATCATTCGTGGGTGCTGAGCAGAAATACACATACAAGAAGAGACCTATAAAACAGCTGGCCAATTCAGTACACGTGTCCACAGTTGAAAACGTAGCCGATAAGAGAAAACTGTCAGCTGTTAAACTGCCCCCCGAAGATCTATCGTTACTCTCCCCTTCATTTCTCTGTGAACCTAAGGCTAGTTTGCCCCGTGTGTCTCTGCTGAGCCCTTTGCAGAGTGGGAATTAGACTGTGGCTCACAGATGTGCAGCAGTGAAACTTCCGAAGTTCTGTCGCTTTACAAATGCAAATATAGCACAAACTAGTGCTGGTACTTGTAACGGTGTAAGGATATGGAGATCAGGTGCTCTATACTTTGACAGAGGAGTCGTCTCCATGCCTTTTCTCCTCTTGAAATAAAAAACTCCCTTCGTAATCAAAATAAGCTGAGAAAAAGTAGAGAGCCCTCATTCCTTTCTAGTGCTAAAGCCAGAACCAGAAGGAATTTTACCTGGCTGATTTGGTTTAATCCCATTATTCTTCCTTTGTACCATCTCGATTGAGATCTCCTTTTGTCTTGATTATTCCCTGCAAATGGACATAATTTTTATATGTCACCTGTATACTTGTAGTTTGTCCTAGCTATGCACTTTCATTTCTTTTAGTCTTTCCTTTCTGAATTCCTTGCAATTTCTTGGCTTCTTTATAGTTCTAAAAACTTGAGTGTTTAGTTCATATATTGGATCTTTAAAAGTCTGAGGAATTAAGCAGAGAGAGTGGAGGAAATTCTGAAATTACTGAAGAAAAAAAACCATCTTGGCATCCAGTTCTAAAAACTGAAATATCAATGATACACATGTGTGCTGTAGCAGTTATCCCCGGTAAGCTTTGCACCTCTGAGGCAGGATCAGGCCCATAGATTGCAAGATACTTTTCATCAGACACCTTTTCACCCAGGTTAGGAGTGAAGAGGTAGGTCCACTACAGAAAGATCTCGTTATCTATGTCTTCAGCTTAGGAGAGAAGATACTGCACTATACAGTATTATTTTGCTAAAAATGGCTTGCCATATGTGGCTGTTAATTTTTAATTATTTACTTTGCTGCAGGAGTGGAACCATCATATCAATGGAGCGACTCACAGCCGACGTTGTCAGCTGCTGCTTGAAATGTATGAATTTGAAGTACAGTAAACATTCTTGTGGCATGAGGGCATGTACAACTAAACAACAGTCAATTATGTTGCACAAAGCAGGTTTAGAAAACATGCTGTGCCTTGTAGGGAATAAAAACATGCAACTTAGAGCATCTTCAGGACAAAAAAGGGATCTCGGTTCATAACTTGAATCCTGATCTATATGTAATGTTTTAAAGAGCTGGATCTTAGGAATCTACTGTCATTTTTTACTAGTCACTTATACCAACTTCTAAATTCTGTGTTGTAAAACAAACTGTGTGCAATTTGTGTTATAAATTGGCAGACATGTTATGTGTAGCGTAGGAAGTTTCTCATTAAGAATAACACTTTATTCTGTCCGCAGATACTGCTCATGTCTCTTGTAGTGGCCCTGTAGTGGGCAGTGTTACCATGTGGTTTATCTATGTTAGCATGTAAAGGTATTGCTGCTTGTATGAAAATTATTACATAGGTAGAGGAGATGGTGTTTCTCTTACCTTTTTCTTTTTTTTGTTTCTTTTAAGATACCCAGAATGGAATCCTGACAGTGATTCAGGGCATGGAATGTAAGTAGTAATTAACTTTAAAGCATTTGTAATTTTTTTTTTATTTGAAGTGGAGGATGTTCTTAACATTTTATGTGAAACACCACATCTCCTTTTCTTCAAATGGCTACCTCCCTTTGTTTTCTACCAGCTGAAGAGCAGCAGTAAAAGGAGCTAAAGTTAACTTCTGCTTAGATGCTTAGCAGAAATTGGGGGGAAGGGGGTTGAGAATGAAAGCTTCATGGTTTTTTGGTTTTAAAATTAAGGTGTGTTTTTTCCCTCTTTCTAGGGGTGATCCCTTTATGTTGCAGCAGTCCACAAACCCTGCACCAGGAATTCTGGGACCACCACCCCCCCCATTTCACCTTGGAGGACCTCCTGTTGGGCCAAGAGGTAACATTAACACGCGCCTGCTTTTACAAGACTTAAGATCCTGCTTTTTTTTCCCCTCCACTTGTTTTAATTTTTACTAGTGGTTTAGAACAAAAACACTTAGTTTTCAAAATACATTAGTCCCTCCCTAGCCAAAGACTGGTACTCTGTTCCCACGCTGTTACCTTTCCACCATCTGCTAACTACCAGCCACGTTATTATGGCTGGCTTTTTAACTGTGTTTGATTTCTCTTTTTCCAGTCCAGGAAGTTGTTTGCATTGTGTTCCATTTAGCTACATGTTGGTGGGGTTTTCTGTGAAACTTGCAGAATTCAGTGTCCTAAGTGTTTGTCCCCTTAATTAACTTTAAGTGAATTGGACAAATAGATTTGAATAGCAACTGAGAAATGGGAGGATAGATCATGCAAGGCTCTTCACAGGAGGGCAAGCTAAGAATCAGGTTCTTGCCTGAAGTTTTTAGTTCCTTTGAAGTTACTGCCACCTTTTAAATAGTTCTGAGTGACTAAAAAGCAAAACTAGTTAATTTACCTAGCTATCCTGACAGACTGCAGCTATTTCACACTCTTTAAAGGAATTTTTAGATGATAGATGCATGCATACTTAATTTCATTAAAATAATACTGTTCATTTTTCAAAACATGTCAAACTTTGAGCCAAACTATCTGAAATGCTTTTGCTAGGTATTTCTTAGTAAAATGGGCATTATGATAGAACTGTTGTTGGTTTAGAACCAAAACTAGGAGTCTTTCTACACCGAAACTTCTACACCAAAGTGGTAAAAAGTGTATCTTAGTTAAAAAGACCTCACATCTTTTGTGTACAGAGACATCTTGCTATGGCAAATCTTAAGCTGCAGCAGGAGATATTTTTTTCCAATGGGCTTTACTTATTCTCTGCTATTTCTGCACATCAGTGAGTGCAGCTCTTTCTCCGACATTGAACTGAACAGAATGATCAGGAAGGAGGGCCTCAAGTTACAAACGCTCAGAAATAAATTAACAGCCTTTTCAGACTGTAATGAAATAATTCATTTTTAAAATGTGATGCCATTCTGCTTTAGTATTACGAGTGACTTGTATCTCTTAAGAATGTGTAAAGAGACATGTTAGTAGCAGTCTTACAGGTTGAACTAAGCTTGCTTATTCTTTTAATTTCCTAAAGGAGCTGGCAATGGAAATATGCAAGGACCGAGACACATGCAAAAGGGCAGAGTGGTTAGTATTGATTTTTTTTTTTTTTTAAAAAAATACCCACAATTTTATGCAATTAGGCTTTCTGTTTGCTTTCATAAGATTTTTTTTTTTTTTTTAATGAATGGATTGTCTTTAGAAGTGAGATTGTAGGATTTATGTGTGTGGAAATACTGAAGCTTTGGAACAAGATTGGAGTTTTGTTGTGCCAAGTACTCTACAAAATATTTGTTCCAAAACTGTAGAGACCCTATTTAAACATTCTCTTATGATGAAGCGGTGGGACATGAACATACCAAAAGGCAACTTTGGCACGGCAGGTGTTGTCTTCTGTGCAAATCCCTGGAGGTTCTGTGACTTTTCTATATGCATCTTGTTTTAGTTACTCCTGAAGATTAAAAACTAAAAAAAAAAAAAAGTAAAATTTAAGAGTAGAGCAGAGCCTTGATGGACTTTCTTTTTAGGTTTAGTCAATACAAGTGTTCTTTTCATGTTGTGTATGCATGCTTTGTCTTCCACAGGAAACAAGCAGAGTTGTTCACATCATGGATTTCCAGAGGGGAAAGAACTTGAGATACCAGCTGCTTCAGCTTGTTGAACCATTTGGAATAATTACAAATCACCTGATCCTAAACAAAATCAATGAGGTAAGATTAGGCCCTTTAGTACTGCTGTTGGGCCTGCTTGGAGACTTAGGTATGCTTACTGTCTGAGCCTAATTTTTGTAAAAGGACTTGCTCAGCAAGCAAGATTACACACGTATCGCCAAGGTCAGGTGCAGGAAAGGAGAGTGACTAGTACGTTTCTTTCCAGAAATGCTGTAGTACTGCATTTTATCTTAAATACTCTTAAATCCTTCTTGTTGGTCGTTCATCGCTTTCTCAAAAATACACTATGCTTGCAAATTCTGTTCTTGTTCTAATATTCTCTGAGAACTTAGTTGTATTATAGTGTGTCACTTTTTGAAGTGTGGAAAAAGCCAATATCATAGAAGGAAAAAAAAGAAGCAGCAATTGAATGTTCTGAATTAAATGTAGGTGGAATGTAAACAAACCAAATAGTTCTGTTTGTGCACCTAAATAAAGTATGTGAAATTCATGCCAAGTTCTGTGGGTCAGTTACTGTTGTAACCAAAAGGCAATTTTCATTGTTGATGCAGCTATTTTTACAGGAAAGCAAGGAAGAGCTTGAGATTTTAAACAAAAATACTAATTCTTGAAGGACTAGTGTTTAATTTGTTTTCGTATTATTTCAGGCATTTATCGAAATGTCGACCACTGAAGATGCCCAGGCTGCAGTAGAATACTACTCAACAACACCCGCACTGGTATTTGGTAAACCAGTCAGAGTCCACCTGTCACAGAAATACAAAAGAATAAAGGTAAAACACTTAAGCCTTTTTAACACTGCCTTATTTTAATCTGGGCAGTCAGTGCTACGAGGCCATTGCATTTAAGTTAATTCTTAATTTACGTACTTCTCAGCTGCATCAACTTAATCAAGGGACAGTCACCCATGTATATGTTATGTAGTATGTACTTAAAAAAAAAAGTCATTCCTTCTTAATTTTAGAAACCTGAGGGTAAACCTGACCAAAAAACTGAGCCGCCGAAACCAGAACTTGGTCGTGTGATTCACCTCAGCAATTTACCTCATTCGGGATACTCTGACAACGCAGTACTCAAACTGGCTGAACCGTATGGGAAAATAAAGAACTACATACTCATGAGAATGAAAAGCCAGGTAACTGACCATAGGAACATACACGTGTGAGGATTCAAAACTAAGGTGTTTAACTGTGAAGAAATGGGATGCCTTTAATTGGTGCATGGGTAGAGTTTCTGCTCTAGCATAGATCTGGAAATTACTAGAGAACTATGGAGGTGGTGTTTTGCCATCTAGCTTGCTGTGAAATGTTACTGTAATGTGAGCTGCTTTAAAAAAAAGAAAGAACAGGCCTCAGCTGTGAAGAAGGTATATTTAGCATTGGGTCTTAATTTTTTTGTTACGCAGATTTTTACGAGTCTTGGAACTTTTTTAAGGCTGAAAAAAACATTACCTATGAACGTTAACAAACATATTCCACTATTACACAGTTCTTTCGTTTACCCTTTATTTTTCTTTCTTTAAAACTAAACAAAAGCAGTCCTGTGTGGCTCTTGGAAAAAAAGTAGTTTGAAGGTAGTGCATTGCATGTATAGAGTAAAATGGTTTGGATGTGCATGTACATATTTCTATAAATACAAGGGAGTTTAAAGTATTTAGTTCTAAATTTTTTTTTTGTTCAGCTTTGCTGTCCCAGTTTGTTGCTCCCTTGAGTTAAATAGGAAATTCCAGAGCTTTTTGAGAGAGTTGAGTGCCTGAATCCCCTAATGCCAGACTTGTGGAATGAAAAATTACTAGAATATATTGTATGACCCCTAGGAAGTCCTCCCTGACCTTATTTTGCTGGAAAAAGAAAATCCCTTGCTTTCTAAGTTGGATGCAGAAGCAGCTTTATTCTATCTACCAATGATACTCTAGCCCAGATGTGTTCTTAAAAGCTTGTTTAGCAAACTTACTGTGTCATAGGCTTGTGTCTTGGAGGAAGGCCTCACAAAGCAGGCCTTACCTTACCTCACAAAGCAGTTGCTGCCTTTCTGCTTCAGGCTCCTCTCTAAAAATAAAATAGTTTCTCAGCTACCCTGGAATTCCCAGATACTTACACACCAAATAAATGAGTTTTATTGTCCAGATGCTTTTTATTTGGAATCATATTTTAGTTTGTGGTGACTTTTTTTTTTGCAAATTATTTAAATGCCTGTTGTTTCATTTCAGAATTTTGTGTAGGACAGATACTACTGAATTGGGGTATATAGAGCACTGGTAAATTTTAAAATGGACAGCTAGTTTGGAGAGGATGGATCCAGCTGAATCTCATAGCTTTGTTTCAGCATTTGGAAATGCTGTGTTTTAAGTTGGATAGATTTGCCCAAAAATGTTGTGTATTTCATAGTTGTTTTTTATGTGTGTTTTAATCTTTTCAGGCTTTCATTGAGATGGAGACCAGAGAAGATGCTTTAGCTATGGTTGAGCATTGTGCCAACAAAGCGCTTTGGTTCCAAGGCAGATGTGTGAAAGTGGATTTGTCTGAAAAATACAAGAAACTGGTGTTAAGGGTAAGTAGTGGTTTTATTTCTTTAATTGTAGTTAAAGGGGTAAAGTGAAGACAGCTATCGCTCACTGAGAATTCAATGCCACTTGTAAAATGGAAGGATTTGCATTGGCATTTTCTGGCTACTTTCATGCAGTTACTTAACATGTGTGGTGTTACGAGGCCTAAAACAAAGTAAAAGGATTTTCCTTTCAGATTAAACAAAAACCAAACTGCCAGAATTCAGATTTTAGAATAATTGGTGTAGATTTTAAAGCTTCTCCACTTAGAATGTTCTGTAATGTGGGTTCTTTTTTTCTCACCCCCCTCTGACAACAATCAGTGAGTGAAATCAAGCTGGGTGGCAGAACCATGTACTCCTATGTTGCATGCTTAATTCTTGGCTTTTCATTTCACAGCTGCTGGTCGGTTTGTCCGTTTTGTTGTACCGTTACTCTTGTGTACGGAACAAAGACAAAATGTTATTGGGGACTCCTTTTTAAACTATGAAGTATTACAGAAGAATGTGTTTCCTGTGTTGAATGCCATCCAGAACCTTTTTTCTTTAGCACCAGAAAACTTTCTGATCCCTGCTGTGGACGCTAACCCCAATTACCTAGATAGATTGAGTCTTGTGATCTAACTTTTAAGAATACATTTTGTCCAAAACGATGATGTAACTGCACCTTTGCATGTGTAGCTCCTATCAAGGAGGGAAGGGTTGGCTGATAGCTTTCTTTTTTTGACGTAACACCAGGCTAATACTCTTGCAATTTTAAGATTTTTTTTCTCCATCAGACCAGGACACTAGGTAGGAAAGCAGGAGAAATCTGAACTGTCAAGCTGTTTCATAAAATATATAAGCTTTCTATTGTGGAGTATGAAGAAATCTTTTACTGTTGCATGTGATGATGCACCAAAAATGAACACTTTGTGGAAAATTCACATACTTAACTTTGCATTGAATAGTTTTCCATGTTACTACCATACAAGTGGAATTTCCTGTTCAGTAACTCCTAAATAATTGGTTTGAGTCTTCAAAAGCTTTCCATGTAGCCCCCTACTAATGATAGGGAGAAGAGTATAACTTAAGGCTTGATTTATGCCATTGCCTGCACCACACTGTATTCAGTGCATAAACAAAAGAGAAATCATATATGATTTTTCTGGAGCAGGATATCCCATTTGCCTTGCATTGAATAACTGATAATTACTGTGACTAAAGGCATGGGATTTCTAGTTTGGTGTAAGGTCTTGTCTAGCATAATAGCAGTTTATTAATTGGTTGGTAGGTGGGCATAGTAAAAGAATACCTGTGGATTAACATAATTGGGAGCGCTTGGCTAGATTGTGCTGTCTGGTCTGAATTAATGCTGCAACAGTTGTATAAACAATACTTTACTGTGCCTTACATTTTATTTTTATTTTATTTCAGATTCCAAACAAAGGAGTTGAACTGCTGAAAAAGGATAAAACTAGGTAATTTCCTATTGCTAAAGCATCATGATGTTTAAGAGATAAGAAAATACTGTCTAGAGTATAGAAATGATACAAAAGAAATCAGGCAAGCTCTGAGATCAAATAGTTGTTTGTTGTGCCCTGAGATTAACTGTTTCTAATGTGCTATCTACCCTCTTCCTCTAATGATGGAGATGTCACAGCCTCTTTGGGCTCCTCAGGAAATCTATTCCAGTCCTCAATTAGCCTTGCCTTCCTGCAGTTTAAACCCACGAGCAGTTGTCCTTGTCTTGTAAGGACAGTTCCTTGCAGCAGCCTCTTGCATATTTGAAGAATATCATGGTATCCTTCAGGGTTTCCCTCAAGGTTTCCCTCTTCCATTTTCCTCGGGTTTTCCCTCTTCCATTTTCTGAGCTGAAACACCATCCTTTTCAGGCTTATCCAGGAAAATATAACCTACGTTCTTTCCAGTCATTTCTGGGCTCTCTTCAGGTTTACAAGCAAGTATTCTTTGTTCTTTACAGAAAGAGAACGTATTCTCCAGAGAGCAAAGATTCCCCAAGTGATAAGAAGTCTAAAACAGATGCTACTCAGAAACCTGAAAGTGGCAGTGTAGAAGATAAAGCGAAAGAGGAGAAACAAGATGATGCTGCTGAGCCATCGGGCGCTAAAAGTAGTGAACAGGCAGACCAAGATGAGCCTAGTTTACTGCTTGAATCTGAAGATGAGCTGCTAGTGGATGAGGAGGAAGCAGCAGCACTGTTAGAAAGTGGCAGCTCCGCAGGAGATGATGCAGATGTTGCCAATTTAGGTGATGTGACTACTGAAGAAAAAAAGGACACAGCTGATGATGTGACCGTAAAAACTGAGGGGAATGTTGTGGCCAATCCAGCAGCAAAGAAAAAGCTTAAAAAGGTAATCATGTAGTGAGGTACCTGTCTCACTTAAATAGCACACCACAGTACATTCTATTTCAGATCTCTTTCTGTGGGCCTTTAAAACACATGCATAGCACACCTGTCTGAAGGGAAATGGGTGTTAAAGCTCCTGTGAAGAAAATGGAAGATCCCAGTGGATGCAGCTTGCAAATGGAATCGGTTATAAATCACTGTTTCCTTTTGACAGAAACTGTTTAACTTGTGGGCTTCTACCCATGTCGCTTCCTGGGGTTTTTCTTGCCTTTTTCTTCACCCCTTTTTTTTGGCTAACACTAAGCAACTAGGAACTGTTTTCTCTTGAGCAGTTTCTCATGAGACTGTCTGTAGTTAGTAACTCTTTTGAGTGCAGAGCAGAACAATGACATAAAAAAAAAAAAAATTACTTATTTGGGACTTGAGGCCAATCTAGACTTGGACAAAATTGGATGTACTCTGTGCTTGGCCAGAAAGGTAGGCAAGTCCATTTGTGGTTAGCCAAGGCCCATTTCCAATTGGAGAGAAAAAAACCAACCAAACAAAAAAGTGGTTTCAGGGTGTCTTCAGTCACAGGCTACTTGCTGTGAATTTCCTTTTTCTCACCAGATGATCCCACACTCTTGTGGTTTTTCCTCTGTCCTACCAGCTGCTTTTTTCCTGTTTAAATCGTACTCGGTTATGTGGAGTAACATGCAAAGTTCTAGTAATATTATTAACTTGGAATGTTGTTTTACAAAAAAAAAAGGCATGTTCCTTATTCTTAATGAATGAAGTGTGCATGGTTTTCAGTTTTGGGGGATCCTTCTATCAGGAAGCTAGTTACATGGTGTTGGGATTAATACTGCTAATGCAAACAGCAGTGATTACTTCTTATTATGTGGGTATCCGTTATGATAAACTGCCTCAAAACCCAGACTTGCTTGAAGACCTACTTTCTTAGAGCACAGATTAAAGCTAATGCTGTTTCAGTACTACTCACGATGGCTGTTAAGCATGTGGAATACAGATGTCTCCACATC